GATGGCCACTACCTTGAATAGCTACAAAGAGGCATTTAGACATGTCTTCTACGAATTTTGTAACAATGGCTATTAGTCATCAAGTTGGACCCGTAAATGTTGCTGTGCAACTGTTCCCATTCAGGGTGCCACCCACCCACAGATGCCTTCTTCCAGGAATACTCCACTCAATTTCCCTTGCCCCAGTTTCCACCAACCATCAGCCAAGCATTCAGTGCCCACTGAACATTTTTCTGTCCACCCTAGGCTATTTTAGGTTGCCCTGCTAAAATCGATAATTAGAAATGGCAGTCAATTTTGCCCTAGCGCTACAAGCCTCAACGCAAGCCATAAGAGCCCTGCTGGATCAACCATAGTCCCATCTAGTCCAGAATCCTGTTCTCACTGTTACCAACCAAATGCCTATGGGAAACACAATAACAGGATCTGACCACAACAGCGTTCTCCATATATGTAACTCCAAACAAATGGTGTTCAGAAGCATACTTGCTCCAATAGTGGAGGTACAGCATAGCCATTAGGCTTGTCCTCCATGAATTTATCTAATCATCTTTTAAAGAAATCCAAGCAAGTGACCATCACTACCTCTTGTGGAAGCAAATAGTTTTAACTCCTTCTCCCAGACAAGAACCTATTCCTGCTCCTCTTACACAGGAATCCCTATTTTTCCTGGAAGGACAGGGAAAGATGACAAGTAAGCCAATACTTTAAACTTCTCCAACCTCTCCTTATTGGGGGAGCTGTAGGAAACAGACTGTAGGAATTTTCAAAAACCGGAACTAATAGATTACGGTAACTAGGTAGGCTCCAACAGGTTTTCAGGGAAGGGGGCAAAACCTACATATTCCTGAAGTCCAACTGAATTCATTGGGGCTTGCATATCTAGCTAAAAATGGCTGAACCAGATATGTCAATTATGTGTTTCTACAACACAATCCTCATTTAGTCTGTGGCAGATTTATGTTGAAACAAATACCATATTAGCTAACAGCAATATGATTCATAGAACTATACCACACAGTTGCATGGCAGAACATCTCTCTCTATTATAAATTATAGGGCCACCCAGCTTCAAACTAATGGGCACTGCCAGATTGTGGGTCTCCTTGAAATCACACACATAACTCAATGCAGTATTGTGTTCAAAACCAATATCCATTCTTCTATCACTTCCCTTTAAGTATCATATTTCTAGAATCATAATTTTAAGGGTCCCCACAATTCCTGCACATGCATTATCCATCCTGCGACATCAAACAGTTAATTCAGCAAGATGAATGCAAATCGCTACATGAAGTAGCGGTTTGCATGAACAATTAAATGATAGACATGATAAACTAGATTTATAAGCTTCACATCCTTATTAAAAAGAATCCTAGCATAATTTAACTATAAAGAACTAGAATATTCTTCCAAGACAATAGATTCATGGAACTCCAGCTCCCCCAACAGCATCTGGGAAGTCAAACAGCACATACAGAAAATGGCTTTTATAAAAAGGCTTGATATCACTATGGAAACGACTGCAAGCATTTTTTTTAAGAGTAATAGCTCTGTTAGGTGCTTCATTAAAAAAAAAAAATTCTAGCAAATAAAGCCCTTAATCTTCAATGAAGCAAAAGTGTCAGTTGAATGCATACAGAAACTGATAAGTCAAATACAAGTGTGCTGAAGGAGTTAACCTGTTCAGAAAGAAATCTAGACAAAAAAGCAAGCTAGATTAGCTAACTAGGGCAGAAAGTTGGAAAATTTAATAGTGAAATAGATGAGGTGGAGATGTGAAGGAAACAGAAAATAACTGCATAAGAGCTTAAGTGAAAGGAAGCACAGAATGTTTAGAAGATCATTAAGAGAGAATTTTAATGTGGATGGTCAAAAGGGCAAATGAGAGCTGTAGAAATAAGTGTTGATCTGCATAGCAATTGTACTTCATAAAACTTCCTTCCTATACAAGGTTTTTTTCCCCTCTGGAAACATTTATAGCTTGTACAGAGTATTTTAAAAACGCAATGCTTTTCACTAACGTTTTTACTCATCCCCCTTGCCAAAGAGGAAGAATGGTGCTAGCTGTTCTGGCAGCAGGCAACCAACCAAGATGCTCCTCAGCTACCCACTGCCAAAATGATACCCCACTCCCCCCCCCCAGCTCCAAATTTCTGAAGCTGAAAAACAGATTACATCAGATGAGTGCCCTTTACAGTGGTACCTCTGGTTACGAACGTAATTCGTTCCGGAGGTCCGTTCTTAAGTGGAAACCGTTCTTATCCTGAGGCGCGCTTTTGCTAATGGGGAACGAGTATCTGGCACGTGATTTCCATTCGCATCCTGGGGCAAAGTTCACAACCAGGAGCAGCTACCTCCGGGGTAGCGGAGCTCGTAACCTGAAGCGTTCGTAACCAGAGGTACCACTGTACTTCCTGCACTGGTGTTGGTTGGTTGGCATCCGTCTGTCTCGAGAGACAATGGAGTGCACCTCTAGGGGTGAAGTCAAACCACTATATAGCACATCTGGAACCAAGATATTAATCCTACATTTACCATCCTGGGAGTAACCCAACTGAACACAGCAGGACTTGAACTTCCACACAGTTGCACGGAACAGGAATGGTAAGCTCATAGTAACCAAAAGATTGTGTTTGGTGACCAGAGATAGCCAAGATTTGAAGACTCTTGCTTTCTCTCAATTGATGAGACAAGTCCCCGGCAATTAAAAAATGCCCGGAAAGCCTAATGCCACATCCTTGGAAAAAATTAATTTAATTTAATTCTAAAAATTAAGCAAGCTCCAGATTTGTCTGTAACCTGGCCAAATCTCTCAACATTCAAGTCCCATTATTGAGAGGTATGAAGACATTTCACTGTTGCAATTCCTGTGATCACACTTCTTGTACATAAGGTGCCTAATGGTTTTACAAAGTATCTGTCATTCAGGAGTGAGGTAGGAAAGCTGACGGCATATTAGAGCTGGCTTAACGGTATTTGCTGCATTTTAGAGACAGCCCACCAAGCCTGACACTCGCCATCTAAGCACACACTATTGAAACTTATGGTTCTCTGACCAACAAGGCACAGAAAAAGCAAGAAAGAGCAGAAATCTCAGGCACTAAAAAGATCTAGTCATTAGGGAGAGATAAACACTGGATGGAGAAAGGCAGCGAGCAGCTCTCCCTTTTTTGTAGTGCAATTTCCATCTTTTCCTCCTCTTGGAGGGGGAGCTTTCAGAATTCAGCATAAAGTACAAGGAATTGCATCCACCTCTTGCCTTCTTAGAAGCATCTGGAAAGTGAAACGAGATTCTGCCCCTCCCCCAAGCCTGTGTGTCCTGGGAGGTGAAATTCCAGTCCAATTTCCACAGGAGAGATACTGATTATCTAGATTCGTGCCAGAAAACAGCCTTAGTCATTCTGGTGGATGATTTGCACTAAGGAAATGATGGGAGACTGCAATCTTACTGGTTTTCCTGCACCCCTCTGCAGCTTTTGGTGCCATCCATCATGCTATCCCAAATCAGAGCAGGAGCTCATCTAGTCTTCACCATTTGCTCTATTTTGGCAAACTGACCTCAGGGCTTTTAAAATATCTTCTGTCAAATAGCTAGTTTCCGTTCCTAGAGCTTGGGCAGCACTGTTTATCCCAGTTCCTCCAAGGCAGCGGTTCTCAACCTGTGGGTCCCCAAATGTTGTTGGACTACAACTCCCATCATCCCTGAGCTCTGGCCTTGTTAGCTAGGGGTGATGGGAGTTGTAGTTCAACAACACCTGGGGACCCACAGGTTGAGAAAGACTGCTCCAAGGTCCTTGTGCTGCCAAATACTGGCCTTCTTTTCCTTCAGCTAGCTCTGCATTTTCATTAATGCTCATGAGTGGTGATCAGCTTTACATGTGATCTAGAAAGAGATGAGGAAGGAAATCAGGGGGGAAGACTAGGCATCACTTGGGGAATTTGAGAGGGGCTGCTACAAAATGTGGGTAACCAAATCAAACGCTGAAATGAAACTGATGTCATGGGCTTAACTTGGTTGTAAAGTGAACATGGATTTCAAATTGTTGCCAACAGATAAGCTGCCAAGCTTTCAAAAGGATCGAAGGTGACAGAACAAAGTAATGACTGGGGGGTGGGGGTGAAAAAGAACAACTCAGAAACTAAACATTTTCACTTTCCAGAATAAATATAAAATGAATAGGAAGGAATGCAATTTCAGTTCCCCTTGCCTAACAGGAGGGGATGTTATACAGAACAGTCAATGCATACAAGTTTATGTAGTTTATACAATTTATATACAGATGGTGCAATATAAACCTTTATTTACGTGAACAAAGTCCTTATCAGGTTATGAAATCAAGCCCTACTTTATAAAACTAGAATATTTGATTTCAAATCAACACAATTCAAGGTGGCTGAAAGGGTGAGGGGCACATCCACACCACAAACTTAAACATGTTTAACAACAATCCCTCTTTCCCAGAGTACTCTGTAAACTGTAGTTCTGCGAGCAGGAAAGGATTATCCTAACAATTCCCAGCACCCTTAAAAACTACAGTTCCCAGGATTCTTTGGGGGAAACCATGTATGCTGAAGTGGTGTAAAAATGGACATTCATGAATAGTGCAGTTGAAAACAGAGACTAAATCAATGTTCAGTACCAAACACGTAAAAAGGGAATTTCACTGTAACACCGATTAAGACCTGCCATAAAACAGAATCACAATTTAAAATCCTTGAAAGGCTGGAATAGATAAGCTCAAAACTTTTGTTCCTTATGAAATAACGAAATCCCTAGAGAAGTACATCTCACACTTTAGCAGGGCTCAAACTGCCAGAGATAACCTTGCTACACAAGACCCAACTTCAACTTAAAACATGCATTGAAGAACCCACTACTTTTTGCCTTATATTTGTAAGGTGGCCGCACTGCTGTTGTGATCCACCTCAGATCAGGTCGCAACCCAGACCTCTGTCCTAACCCACCAGTTGAAGACCAATGGTTAAGCAGTACTCACCAAGGTTTGTGTTGGGGCCAGCCAGTAGTTGCTTGAATTTATCTAAACGTGATGCCTCTCTTTCCGATAGCATAGGGATACCTGAGCTACTGTGGTCTGTCACTCCACCCACCAGAGTAACAGTGGAGGCTTGTGGAAGGGACTGAGATCTTGGCACAGAAATAACTTCATCAGCACCATCTGTAGAGTATATAAAGGAGCAAACAGACAGACATCAAGCGATCTATTTTTTATAATGCAAAGGTAAAACTTTAATTTAAAACAGAAAAATACTGGGACACAAGTATTTGTAACAGTTGTTTGGTTAGAGACAGAAAATGTTATATCCACTGTGGCTTCAAAACAGTTATAAAAATAGAACTCCCTGTCATCATGTCAATACCAAGAATCTCACGTTTGTGCAGCAGCAGCCGAGAACAACTGATGGGTTATTCATATAGAATGGCATTAAACACACACACTTCAAGTAGTAATGTTTTAAATGGTTCCGACAATATTTTCTACTATTAAACACTTTCACAGTGATGTAGCAGGGTTTCCCATTTTTTCCTTCCAAGACAAAGAGGAAACAGTGCTTTGTGTGCCTTAAAAACAACTTGGGACTCATTTCTTCAGGATTACATGAAAATACTAAAAACGCCTCCATAAATATAGTCATGCATGACATTTTTTTGTATGACATGCAGCCTGCTACCAAGTATTCATATCAAGAGCGCCTTGTTCCCAGTTCAGCGTAGAAAAGCTCACTTTGTCCACTTTCTTATCTATGGTCCTATAACCTCAAAACTAGGACTGTCACAATGTGTTGTTCGTGGGGCTGCCTTTGAAGACAGCCTTAAGAAAGAAGATTACAGTTATGAGGTTATGAAAGAGAACTGGGTGTGTCATCAGTGCTTGAAAGCTCCACTGATTTCTAGTCGCTTTGTGAACTCCAAACCAAGTGCTGGTTCCTTAGTTTAAATAGTATATGCAGGAAGCTGCGTTATACCAAGTCAAGACATTTGTCCAAGACATTGTCTACACTGACTTGTAGCAGTGTTGAGCTTTGGCCCTACATGGCTTGGTGTCTGAACTCCTACTCCCTCATCAACTTGCCCACACATATAGGTAATCATGGAGAACCCCCTACGAATGAATATCACATGCGAAGCAAGTGGTGACTGGAAAGGGGACTTCTCAATTAAATGGCCCTTCTGAGTTATGGTCCTTAAATGCCACTAGTTGGATTAATCCCATAGACATTAGTGGGGTAGATTTAGAGTCTAAAGTACAAGAACTACTAAGCACACTTTCCCAACTTCTCATTATTTTTATTTTTGAATGGATAGCATGACCCTTTCAATTACTGTCTGGCTTAAGAGGGAAGTGAAAGCTTCCAAGCCCTCAAGAAATCCTGGAACAAGGCATACACTACAGCTTTCAACCTAGAGAAACAATGAATGGCAATGGAGTTTGAGGTTTAATATACCTGCAGAACTTGATGTGTTGCTTTCACTGACAGATTTAACCAGTCTGCTGTCACCACACGCAGCTGAGGGCAGTTCTGAAAGCTGCTGTGGTTGCTCCTTTTCCACCTGTTCCTCCTGCAATTTGTGCTGTTCTTGTAATTTGCTGTGATTCTGAATTACTCTGTTAGCTGTTTCCATGACTACATCTGTGTTAAGGCTTTCTGCAGCCATCGCTAGGAGTTCGTCGTCGTCATCCCCGACATCCCAAGCGTCGCTCGTGTTGCTTTCGAATTCTTGAAACGTGCTGATTTTCTTCAGTTTCACTGGAGTTGTTGGTGGCTTGGCTCCAGGTTTTAAGCTGTTTAAAAGAAAAACCAGCACTTTACACAAGCACAGGCACTTCTGTGCTTATTATACTACCTGAACTAAGTAACTAGTTCATTCAACTAAAGCAAAAAGTTACACTAAGGCTGGCCCAAATTCAATGGGACATATTTCTGAGAAGACTTGGTAAGATGCGAGCTGCTAATCAGCAAACAATGTGCAGCTAACAAAAAATAGTTAGATGTGAAGCTTTTTCAGTTTTCCATAGCATTTGGCATATCTAGTTACTGTATCTTACTGCAAGGCCCTCCATCAGCATTTGGCATATCTAGTTACTGTATCTTACTGCAAGGCCCTCCATCAGCACAACATGACTTCCTCTCCCTCCCTCATGTGCCCTGCACCCACTCAAATCTGTTCTGGGGGTTCCCCCAACCCGCCAAAGCAGATTGGGGGACCACCATGGGCATGCAGGCAGATGAAGTCCTTGCACTAAGGGGATGATTTTGCTGGATACAACCCCATTTTAACTCCATCTATAAGGATATTTCGGGACGCGGGTGGCGCTGTGGGTAAAAGCCTCAGTGCCTAGGGCTTGCCGATCGAAAGGTCGGCGGTTCGAATCCCCGCGGCGGGGTGCGCTCCCGTTGCTCGGTCCCAGCGCCTGCCAACCTAGCAGTTCGAAAGCACTCCCGGGTGCAAGTAGATAAATAGGGACCGCTTACTAGCGGGAAGGTAAACGGCGTTTCCGTGTGCGGCTCTGGCTCACCAGATGCAGCTTCGTCACGCTGGCCACGTGACCCGGAAGTGTCTCCGGACAGCGCTGGCCCCTGGCCTCTTGAGTGAGATGGGCGCACAACCCTAGAGTCTGTCAAGACTAGCCCCTACCTTTACCTTTTTATAAGGATATTTCTGCATTTTAAATTAGAAGAGCAATGGAAGAGGCTGGTCTCAAGCTGGTGCTCAGAAGCAGTGATGCTGTGAAGAATGCCCGGCATATTTTGGACAAGGGTCTTGGACAAGGGATCTCTGCGTGGTGTAGTGTGGTTAGTGGTTAAGAGCGGTAGTCTCGTAATCTGGGGAACCAGGTTCGCGTCTCCGCTCCTCTACATGCAGCTGCTGGGTGACGTTGGGCCAGTCACACTTTTCTGAAGTCTCTCAGCCCCTCTCACCTCACAAAGTGTTTGTTGAGGGGGAGGAAGGGAAAGGAGAATGTTAGCCGCTTTAAGACTCCTTAGGGTAGTGATAAAGCGGGATATCAAATCCAAACGCTTCTTCTTCTCCTCTGTGTGTATTTTTCCAGTTCATAAATAATAGCTTGTTCAAGAAGATACTTTGCACAAAATACTTTCCATCTTTCACATATTAAGTGCTACTTTCAAGCATAGCCTGCCTCTCCCTTCACTTATCAATTTCTTTTACATTGTGGTACTGCCCTCTCCAGTGTTAGAAAGTGGAACAGAAAATTTAGCAGCCAAATGGCTTCTGGAACCTGGGTTGTGGGCACCAAAACGGCGGTGTGTGTGTGTGTTGGCAACTCTTTTTATTATTTTGATAAGCATGAACTAATATGCAATTCACATAAGTGACACATTGTTATATCACATTTTTAGCAGAAATTGTTAATGCATGTTTAATTTGGTGTTTACAATAAAATTATTGGTACTCCACTTCAGTTTTCAAAACATTCACCTCTTTGTTGTTAAACTCCTTAACATATTGTCTATCCTTAACATATACTTTGAGGCTTTAAAGCACATGCATTTCAGTAATCTTGAGTATCAGCCAGGCACAAAAAATGGCACCCAGACATTTTTAGGTGCTCGCAAACAGAGAAACTTTAGGCACAAAATGCGCCTGGCACCATGCTAATTTTGAACCTAGGACCTTTCCCTGCTCCCCATTCTTTCATGCCTAAAAATTACTCAAAATAAATTACTCCTCACTTCCCACAGTAGTCATTTAACTTGAACAATTTTTATGAGAAAATTTTCACCAAAAAACAACAACAACCCAAACTTAAGGGGCTTGTGAACATTTTTCTGCAAAACAAATATTTAATGAAACCTCCAAAATTCTCTATTACACTAATCACAGACAGTAAATGTGGGCAGATTAGCTCAACAAATCCAAGAGGGATTGAGCAGAATGCTGCTCAGTACTGCTAGCCACACAAGAGTAGGACTGAACTCTATTTTGATCCATTTCCCAGATTATCTACATAAACTCAGAGTTGCTCCAGTCCTTCTTTTCCATCCAGTTCTCCTCCCTTTCCCCATTATGCTACTTCCTGCTTATTTCAAGCACAATCCTCTGGTAAATTCTGTGCAAGCCCCATTAATTTTAATTGAGCTGAGCAAGTCCATTTCAATGGGAGTCGAACAGGAAAGCTTCCCAGAGTTATTTGTAATTTTATGTTTTAAGGCTTATAAATGAGAAAGCTTTGCTAGTTTAATAAAGGGGGGGGCAGATTCTATGAAGTAAACCAAGAAAGGTATGTAGGTCAAAAGGTGTTTGTTACTCCTTTATTTCCTTCTGCGTTCACAAACCTATTGTTTCATACAGCCTGTCAAAGATATTGTTTCATTGTCTTAAACATTAAATGACATATTTGCATTGTGTGTGCTTACTTTGATAGGTAAAGGACCTCGTGAGCAATTCCCTTTAAATATCATAGAAACTGTCTGAACCTCAGAGATTGCAGGAGAGAATTAGCTTGCTTATCTTGAAACACCTTTAGCTCAGTACAAAGAACCAAGTGCAATCCTGTTAAAGTTTAGCTACTGGTTGAATTTTATTTCAGACTATTCAACATCCCATTTCCATACATATTCTCTCCAAAGTAAACCTCACCATGTCCCAAATGTGCACATGACAGTAGCACAAGGCTAAAAAAAAAAGATTTAGTACAAAGAGGGGTTATTTTTCTCCAGACATGTAAACCTATTCCTTCTTCCCTTTCGAATTCAAAGTGTGTTTGAGCCATGTCATCTACTGCATAGGAGCAATGCTTTTTTAAAAAAAAATGCCTAGCAAGTAATGTTTTAAAGGCAACTGTTTCAGATTTCAGTTTGCATCTCATAGGAATTACTGGGCAAAGCTGCTGTTTTACACAAAGGGAAGGAGTCATAAGTGAGGACTGCTTCATCAATTTTGGCATACACATACACAATAAAGTCGTACCTTGGTTTTCGAACAGCTTAGTTCTCAAACGTTTTGGCTCCCAAACGCCACAAACCTGGAAGTGACTGTTCCGGTTTGCGAACTATTTTTGAAAGCCGAATGTCCAACGGGGTTTCCGTGGCTTCCAATTGGTTGCAGGAGCTTCCTGCAGCCAATCAGATGCCGCACTTTGGTTTCCAAATGTTTTGGAAGTCGAACAGACTTCCGGAGCGTATTCCGTTCGACTTCCAAGGTATGACTGTACTGTAAATACAAGTCTAAACAAGTAAAGTGGGAATGGCAGACATCATGAAGACACACTTGCGAGGAAGCTGTGATTAGCTACAATTCCATGCAGGGTTGTATGCAGAATATAGTGTGCACAATAGTCCTGATTATTTTAGCCTCCAAGATCTTCCTAGCTTTTATCAGGCTGAAGAAAACTTCACTGTCAAGTCTAAGGAACCTGCCTAATTTAATTGCCTTAAAATACAAATCTTAAGCAGCACTGAAACAAGTAGGTTTAAAGAATAATTTCTCTTTTACACTGTGTTGTCATGTTTGATAGACATACAAATTATTATTGCTGCTTGTCAGGAAACATTTTCTTCTTCAAGTAGCAGAAGGCACACTCACTTTTGGGTATGGGAAGGTAGATCCACAGTTTATCTGTTTAAGAAAATATCCCAGTGAAGGAAAGACTTTCCATGAGGTGCAAACTATTGTTATACAGGTTACCATGCACCTTTTATATGCCTATACTACAGACACTGAATCAGAGAGACAATGTAAAATCGTAGCATCATGATGGTGGCGAGAGAGCAAGATTATACAACAATATACAATTCCTAGCTTGTTCAGATTCTTCATTGTCCTTTGTGACAACTTATTAAATACAGAGTACTGAAATAAAGAGGTAGGAACCACATTACACATTTCACAAATGGTTAAAAAAAAGATGGTGTGTTTCAGCTCCACAAAAAAGTCTGTAAATTTTTTAAGCTAACCTGCCAGAGATACCTTTGTCAGAAAGTTACTTAATTCAAAAGAACTTTTATAAAGCTTGTTTTCCTCATCACTAGACAAGTGGTCATTTACAAACCCAATATAATACTTGCAATTTTTTTATCATTCACAGACCTACTGCAACATGTAAAAATCTTGACCATCCAGGTCACTACCCAACAAGGTTGATAAACGGTATTATATTCGCAGAGTAGTCTCAAGAGATTGCCTGACGTTGTGTCAAAATAATACTGCCACTCTCTTAGCTCCTCGGGAGATTTCACCAACCTTCCAGTCTCAACTATGGCTTACCATCAGTATGTGAACAGGTATGATTAATCTAACTAGGGTATACAAACTGGTTTTCAAAGCTTGGTAACCATCAACCATAGCGAGTGTAGCTATACGTGACAGTGACTCCTGTTAAACTGGGCAGAGAATAGAGGGAGAATTCACACCACAGGGCGGGGGAGGAAAGGAACTAATCCCAATGTATTAAAAATGGTTAAGAGATCAGCACATTACAGCTGCACTGCCAAACTACTCCAATTCCAGAAATAATAGTAGTATGAACAGGGAGCGATAAAATCCATACTCTAGTTCAGTTCCTCCAGACTTGACATTTACAGTTTGCATCTTTTTGCCAGCTCATAAATTGGTTCTCCTCCAGCCGACAGAAAGCAAGCCTCTCAAATAATTCACCTCCTGCTATTTCTCAGTTCATATCTGCTTAAGCTAGTTTGCCTGTGCAAGAAGGAAAGCCGTAGTGATACGAAAGATTGGAGAAGCAAAAGGGACCAATTTAAAAATCTGGTAGGCAATCCAGGGCTGAGTAGCATTATCAATGAAACAAAATTATTTTGTTGT